AGGTGCCATTTGGAGATCAATGCCTATGAGAGGTTTTCGCTCGGAGCAAACGCGTCTCACCTGCTACCTAGACGTCTTCAATAAATCATTCCCTAACCGTGTACATTGAAGGCTGTTTTGTGAAGATGTCATCGCCGCTGCCCTTAGTACCTCCGGCGGCATTAGCTGTGCAAGGCAATGTATCCACAGAACGCTGCCTGTTTTACCACTGATGTTATGACCCTGTTATCAAAAAAAAAAAAAAAAAAGCAATGTATTTGGCAGCCCAGCTGCCACCCAAGAGTGCGAAGTTAAGTGGCAGCCCCCAGAAGTAGGCTGCCAAATAGAGGCAAAAATTACTATATTTGGTATGGGCTGCCAAATAGATTAATCCTCAACAAAAAGATGAACTCATAACCACACTTTTCTTCCAGACGGAAGTAAATCGCACTGATGCAGGTATGTGCGTTGCATGCGGTTCTGTAATATCATAGTTCAGATAGATATCCTTGTTGCGTGGTCCGGGAATCGAACCCGGGTCTACCGCGTGGCAGGCGGTAATTATACCACTAAACCAACCACGCTTCATTGGATGATATTTGTCGTAGAGCATCTACTAGTGATCTCTGGAAACTAGTAGGTAATGATGAAAAATGAAGAATTGGGCAAGAGCCTCGTGGTTTTGGGATACGATAGTGATCCTAAGTAATGCTGATGCCCAATGGCTGAGTAGTATACTCGTCAGGGCACCCTCCTGTCTAGCCCAGGGGCCGGGTTCGAGTCCTGGTTAAGGCACATAAAGTGAAGCAAACATGTGCCAGGTCAGGGATTTGCTTGAGTTTTTATACTTTCTCTCCGAGACAGCCTAGTGTTCTCCGCTAAGGCTAAGATCGTGGGTGCACTACCCTAAGTCGCCTGGCTGGCCACATGTCTTAGGTATATATTCCACCCCCCAGCCGAACCAGCGGTACATCTGGCAACACATCCCCCCATCCACCCACTTGACTAGGACAGCGATGATCACAAAGTTTGACGGAGTCCAAAGTAGAAATTTCAGACCAATCCCGCAAGATTTGGGTCCACATGCCAGTGGATTTGATCGAATAGAAAAAATTAAAAGTCGTCCTTAGCTAGAGTCGGCACGCCAGCCTCCGCGGCTTTTCACGGGCGCAACAGGCCACATCGGAAGGATGGACTTCGAGTACCGATCACGGTGTACATTGGTAGAGAAAAACATGGATACGAATTGGCTCTTCACAGCCATCCCGTGCGAACTTTGAGAGTTTCGCTTGTTTCATAGTTGAGGGCGATATCATTACTTTAGAGCGAGATTATGAAATAAAATTCCTCACCTCTGTGGGTTCTTGTTAACAGGAAAAAAAAAAAAAAATAGTGATCCTAAGTAATGCTTTGAATGATTTTGAGGATGCTGCAAAAGGGCATCGATAATAAGAAGAGAGATCTTTAATAACTGCTAATTTTCTGAGAATTCATAATGAGAATAATGAAGATAAACTCACCTGCAAAAGGGCATCGATAATAAGAAGAGAGATGCCGTTTTTGCAGTGAAGGAAAAAGCTACTTAAATACTATTTAAAAATGGTAGAAAATAGGATGATAGGAAATAAATAAATTGAAAGGAAATACATATTTAGGTAAATGAATAGGCGTCATTTACGACATATTGTTAAGTGTCCCAGCATATTATAAAAAAAAGAACCAGAGATCTGCACGTGTCTGTTCAGATGCCCCAGCCACCCAGAGTTCCCTCGCCTGTTTGCGCGCTGACGCCTAGAGAGATCCTACAGCATTTCGGCAGGTTATACATGGTCATGCGAGATTTAGGGGTTCACTTCTAATTGAACGACAAAGAGAAGCACACCCACAAGACCAATCAAAACCCATCCCCCTGAGGGTCCTTGTTATCAAAAAAAAAAAAAAAAAAAAAAAAAGGTCCCAGAGGACTAAAGAAGGCCCTCGATCGCCCAAGTCCATTGCTCAGAGTTGGAAAGTTGGCTTCAAGACAACAACAAGGATAGCTACATATATGGCAGGGCGCTTCGTCAAGGCCATAGAGGAATTCGGTCGTACAGAAATCTGGAACAAACGGTGTAAAGTCACCGTTGAATGGGAAAAGGCTCGTGGAATCACTGCTATGAGCAAACGCGCTAGAGGACGCAACTGTGTTGGGGAGCACAGACGTAGTAGCAATGATTTCCTTGTCCCTTCCCTCAGACAAAGACAGAAGCTGAATGTAAAGAGATCTACAAGATCGCGGATGACCGAGTCCGGGACAGTTACCTTGGGAAAACCAAACTGGACGTGATGGAGCGGCTAGGTGGAATGAAGTTTTCGATGACTATGGATAGCGGATAATTTGTCGTGTTGCGCAACAGGCCACGTCGGAAAGGTGGACTTTGAGTACCAACCACGGCGGTCAGGGTTTATGAAATCATGGATACAGCGGCTCTTGTCGTTTGTGCAGTAATAGCTGTTTATTGACTATAGTTTCTGGAGCATTTTGTTCATAGAGTGTAGAAAATAAATCCCATGACCCTGAGGGTCCTTGTTATCAAAAAAAAAAAAAAAAAGACTAAAGAAGGCCCTCGATACTGACATGGTTTATAAAGGGGATGTTGTATTGCGGCAGTACAAAGATGCAGTTACGGACAATTACTGGATACCGTATTATTCGCGACCCACAAATAGGGCAAGCCAGCTATAGGGCTTACATCTAAATAAATTCTTTATAATTCCTTATATCCCTTATGTTTCTTGACGACATTGTTGCTGTTATAAAAGAAATGCAGGCCTTCATCCAAGTTTCTAAGCTGATCCATGTAGTTTTTATACTTGTGTCAGCGTGACGAAAAGAGGCTAGGCCACTCTCGATGTCAGTAATGGGCCATGGATTGTAGGCCGCTCCCGCCTCCCGCTGCTTCATCTAGTGTCTGTATTGAGAGTATTCCACTACACCGCTTCCTATTTGACAGCCAAGTTGTAAAACGACTGCCTGGGCCGCCACGTTGGGGCGCTCACCACTTGGTAATATTGTGCTCACCCCAACGACGAAAGGCTGTTCAACCCCAGATCTTCCTCAGGAAGTCACCCATATTTCACTGCATTCAGTCCGTTCAATTACGATACCAGCAACTAGAGTCGAAGCCCATCAGTCCGAAATGGCCCCATGAAACGTAACTGTGCTTCCCTTAAGGTTTGAGCCCGGACACGAAGTTGTCTTTTCCAACGTATTGTGTGTGCTCTTTCATCCTAGGCAGTGGCATTATGGAAACCGTAGCCTTTGAATTTCCTAAATTCCTTATATTTCTCCCCCTCAAAACCTTCAATATCGGCTAAGACTTGTAATGAGATACTCAGGGTCTCTGTCTGAGAGCCACTCACATAGGTCAGTTTTCGGTATATCCTTGAAGTTTAGCTTCGAGTCTCCTGCCTTGCCAAAAGATCTCAACCAGATATAGCTTTTGTAAGACAATGAAGGCGTCTTCAGGCAATGGAGCAAACTTTCGGCTGACTGTTGTTGCAAACCAGAAAATAATGTTTAAATCTACTGCCAAATAACTCTGTCAAGCATGTTTAGTCTTTGAAGCATGGTTAGCGGCTCCTTGGAGGCAGCTCTTAATCTTAGGATATATTTTTTTTAAAAAAGAGAGACTTAAGTATGATATCTAATCGTTAGACAGCTTGTTATTCTATGATATACCATTATCCTCTCCATCATACTTTAATAATTCTGTAGTCGGTGATACTTTCAAGCCGAGAAACGCTTCTAGTATAGCAGTTCTTACTCACGGTACATAGTACTATCAAATTTATAAGTTTGTACACCAAAATGTGATCCCTTGAGATAGAATGTCAAGCTGTTGAGATGTCCAATAGCGAACATGTCGCTGTCTCGAGGCATAACTGCATCCTCGAGCTGGCAAGCAGCCAGACAGCGACATTTACATCCTTGAACAAGCTAGTCCTTACTCCTCCGCATATATTTCGCGGACGAACCTCGTGCTCCCTTTGATCAACAAAAGACCTTGTCTAACGTCTTGGAAACGAACGAGAACTGCTTCTTTCGAGCGCGACTTTTGCTTTTCACACGTCAATCTAGCTCGCTGAGCGCTTGTTGAGCGCCCATCGCAGCCTCGGACTTCCTAATGATGTATATAAGTAAGCCTTTTTTTCCTACAGGTGGCACCACCAATATACAGAACAATACTTTCAGGTGTCCATACTTCCTGACTCTCTCCCCAGGAACTTATGATCGTATCTGTAGAATGATAAGAGTATATCTTTCGAGTTATGGGAAACAATATTTCTAGGACGAGTCGGGTAAAGGTGCCGTGATTCAAGGGATTGAAGGGACCAGAGGTGGAGCAGGTTGATGATTAGCAGTGAAGTGTTATCTCGTTTCTCTTCTTTAGAAGAAGAGCCTAAAAGCCTCGATTCCTATTGCTGAGATACGATGTGGTTAAGGATGTGGAAACATCGATGAAAATGTTAAAAGAAGAAAAAGCGTGAGAGGATGAGGACTACAGAGTGAAAGGTTTATTAGAGATGCATATCAATAACCTATGCACCTGTTCAGCGAAGTCATCGACAACTGAAAAACTCTTGCACTCTGGAGTTGTATTTCTAGAAAAAGGCTTTGTAGCTTTAAGCTAAAGAATGCTCTTTGTGCACAAGATCAAAGAGGGAGTCGAGTAACATAAGATACTCGTATGTTGTACTCGGATCTTGGAGAATGCAAGACCCATGGACTCTGGTTACTAAAAAGAAAAGTCGTGCGATATACAGGTGTCTTACAATATAGATGTCTCTGTTTGACATTTCATTAAGATTAAATAGCATGACATAAGGACATGTTGACACTTTAAAAAAGATCAGTGTCCCAAATTTGGCAGCATGAAGCTTAATTTAAACGCAAGAAAAAAAGCAATTGAGTGGAGCATGTAATGCCCTGATTGTATATTCTCATAGTAATAAAGTGGAAAAAAAAAAAAAAAAAAAAAAGCGAACAAGGCAACATGGTAAGGCTTAGTGGATTCATAATGGAATTAGTTATTGACGTTCCGCCTCGTAGGCGGCCTTCGCAGCCTTGTACTCCGCAAGAGCATTGCGTGCTTGCTCGGCATAACGAGCCTTCTCCGATTCCGGGACCTTGGCCCATGCATCAGCAAATGACCTGGTACGCTCCTTAACGGGCAATGACGCAAATTCACCAGCTGCACGCTGTTCCTGCACAAAGCGGAAGAATGAGCTGAGAGGACGTTTAGGAGCGTTAGGATCTTTAAGAGAAGGTAAATTCTTCTTGCCTGTAGCACGAAGAGCCCGACGGCGAGAGTTCTCGAGTCCGAACTCAGCAGGGGTCAACTCTTGAAGGCGCTGCTCCATTTGTCTCTTGAAGTCCTCCATATTAGCCCTGTATCTATCCTCGTAGACCTAGATTTGCAGTAATAAAGAGAAGTGAGAAGTAGAAAGACATTACTTGTATGTTTACAAGACACGATCTCCATGAGTTAATATTTAATGCTATTTTACCTGCTTCTGATCGGGAGTCAGCTGTTTCCAGGCAGCAGAGGCATTTACCGTCTCTTGAACGGGGACAACAGTCTTTCCAGAGGCTTTAACCTTATCTAGGTGCTCTTTGAAAAACAAAGTCCAAGGAGAACTAGGGCGTTTGGGCAATTCTAGAGGCGCAACTAGTAATCAGAAAAAAAGCTGAGTTAATAAAGATATTCATATCTTCCAAATGATATTTACAATTGACGGAAAATGAGTGTATGCTGAAATGTCCCCTTAGGATTGATATAAAAGTACCACAGCTAGTTAATTTGGTGTATTGACGTTATCAATGCCGTCGTGAAGCCTTTGAGCCCTGCTGACAATAGCCCGCTGTGGTATTTCATTAATACCAAACTGTTAAGTAAAACAGCATAGGAGCAATGGGACTTAGTAGTAATTTCATGAGCTCACTTTTTCTCTTTGTAAAAAAGGACCTGCAGTCAGACATTACAAATTAACATTCACACGTCCTGATCAAGTAGAATCGAATCATTCCTAGAACGAAAATTCGATGATGCCGTGCCCTGTATGTACTCATTATGGTTTTCTTCTGTCGAGATTTGCCTCCTAGTGGCATGAAGGCTTGCCATAGTTGCATTGTTGTCTTCATGAGATTGATTTGCGACTGATCAATGACACCGCTGCTGCAACGATAAATAAATAGAAAACACGCCGACAGAGAAGATAAAAAGATAAAAAATTATAAACATACTCTTTTTTGGTTTGACGGGTTCAGCTTTCTTGGATTTCGTAGCCTCAGTGGGAATCTTTTTGTTCGAAGCTTCCTTGATGGTCTTGGTGGTCTTGGTGGTCTTGGCATCTTTAGTAGCCTTCAAAGTTAAATCAGTCTTTTTGGCGCGTGTTGAGGTGGCAGTCGAAGAACCGGCGGCTTTGGTAGCCATGGCGCGGACGGCCTGGATAGGCACAGTCGCCGACGCGAGGGTGAGTGAACGAAAGGAAGCAGAAAGACTCAACATATTTGATAGTAGGTCAAACTTGACAAGGATTAAAGAAAGGAAGTAGAAGTGGGGAAATTTTCAAAGAATATCAACAAAAACAAAAAAGAGCACGTGTTTTGACGCACTGGCAAAGATGTGAATACATATTTCAAACTCACCCACAGGCTTATAAGGAGCAATATTGAGTCTTTGCTCTAAGCGAATTACAGAGGAAACAATAGCTTCTATATTTTGGTCACATTGATGGTTAATGCCGCTATTCTTTTCTACACCTAAAGGAAACTCTTCTCAGCATTCATAGTATGTACAACGAAAGAGATTGGTATCAAGGATCAAGCAAGCTATTGAAGTTGATCCGATCAAATCAGAGCGTAATGAGGATGATTCAGTGAAAAGTAAGTGAAAAAGGCTTCGTGTGGGGCTCACCAGGGGGCTTCTAACATTTATTTTACTTCCTTTTATAAGTCGGATATAGCAAAACATGAGGTTGCGCACTATCTGCTGTTTGTCTCTATTACTAAAAATCCTTGCAAAGTGTATGCGCCTTATACGGTCCATAGACCTTGTTGCTGTTAACGGCTCAAAAAGAGGGCTCCATTCCCACTCTTATCATTTTCAAATCATATTGGTGCTGTCCTCATCCTGCGCGTCTTGTGTAACGACTGTATCTAGCAAATCACGTTTTGGAGACGCGTAAAGGTGTATTTGTTTATCAACTGTGTCTTGTAGTCTTTGTTCAATCCGAATCTTTTCTGCCGTAACAGTGGTAGTAACGAACGTCGATATTCAGCAAAACTCAATTTTCACAGCCGATTTTGAGAGTCGTGGGAAGCACAATATAATACACACAAAGGGTTGGGATCATCTCCGCTTTCATTGTTCTTCTCATCCCTTTTCTTTACAGAATAACATGGCGCCAAAAGCAATACCCAAGCGTCCCAGCCACACCTTCATCTTAATAATTGACCGATACTGTCTCTACCACTCCAAGATCTCATGTCTCCCATTATTCCACTTTGGCCTCAACTCCCTCCCAGATTTACTTTGCTTAATCAACAATAGCAATAAAAAAGAACAAGTACGACGTTCCTGCACTTGCTCCTCCAGCACCTTAAATCTTCCAGTTTTTTAAAGCCTTGTTTTCCACTCCTTGATTTGCTTTACACTATTTGACCAGTAAGAACTTATTTGCTACTGTATGGTAAATAGTCTTATTTCCTTTCTAATATTGGCTTCC